TAGAGTGGTACCAAGGATACGACCTCCTCTTGAACCACCGCCATGGGTTGTACCAGCCTATCAGGTGTTAGAGTCCATGAAAGTTTTTCTATTAGTTATTTTTATTCTGTCATTTGGCTTCTTGTTATAGTCTATGTTGTTAGGTTTGTCAGTTTGTTTGGGAATTCAGCCTTTTTTATGTCATTGAGTATGTTTGAATCTATGGGAACAATGATGACTGTGTCAAGCCCGCTAAATGGTTAGCGATTCACGTCGCCCTTTCAGTGGTGACCATATCTAAGTATGATCATAGAGTTTAGAGTTGTAGTTGTTGGATTTTAGTTGGCATCAGTTTTGTTATTCCTTTGATTGATGTAATTATCCTGAAACTTATGATATGAAAAAAGGTAAGGTTAGTCGACGATAAAAAAATCAATAATCAATGCAGCTACTTTTATGCATGTTTGAACATTGATTTTGGTCATCGTTGTGTTACTTTATTTCTGTTACTCACCGCGTTTTTTTATTTTTTTGTTTTTGTTCTTTTAGTTGCATTTTAAAATAGGTCATTGTGTGAAAATGTTGGGATAGCTAGCTATGATTGCATTGGTAGTAATGGTAGTATCGTGCTAGTAATGTAGTATCGTGGTGATTTTAATACTCCCTATAACTTATAATTTGCTTTGAATTTGAAAATAGAGTACATTTTTATTTGTACTTCAGACTTGTTTTACTCCTTGGAACAAGTTCTTGTTTTAGTTTAACTATACCTAGTAGATGTTTCACTAGTAACTTATTTCAGTTCCAAACCGTATCATGCGAGTAGAGCCATGAATTTGAAGGCTCAGGTTCCAAATGTAGAATGGAAACTCCACACTAATATAAACAATTTAAAAAATAACTCAATTTAAATACTTATACTCAAATCAATTGAATGTTCATTAGATTATGTAATAAAAAATTTCTAAAAGCCACTTAATACTTGATTTAAAGCAACGTACGTAACTCATCACTCTAGTAATTTGAGTAAAAGAGTAAAAAGGACCGATAAAAAAATTATATTATTGTATATTTTTTCCTTACTAACTGTATTTAATTTACTGATTACTATACAATACTAATAAATTTTTAAAAAATTGGCCGGGGCCCCATAAAATTGGGAGGTCATGTGTTCTGTAGAATCTATTGAATCTCCTAAAAACTGGATCTGCATATCGGAATATATCAAATCAAATTTAGGATGTTTTCTCTTGGACTGAAATTTGCTGGTCTGGTTTGATTCGGTCTGAACTTGTCTGACCTGGTCTAGTAAATGTATGGTCTCTGTGTATTTTATAAATTATAACTATGAAAGTCTGATCTGGTCTGTTTAAATCTGATCTGGTCTGGGACTGAAAATAGTCAAAAAAAAAAAACATCCTTAGATAGACCAGACAAAACTTAACTAATAGACCAGACTTAAGAGTTGTAAAATACACAATATCTATTAGATCGGACTAATTCAGATCAGATCGAACTCAAACAAACCAGGCAAGATAAAAAATGTTTAGTCTAATTAAAAACATTCTTGACAATGCTAAGATTTCTTGGTAAATAAAATATAGGAGTACTGTGTTTAACTCTACATAAAAATTCGAGCTGGTTAAGAGCTGGTTTAACTCTAAACAAAAACAATTGAATATGATTGTAAAGTTGATATATAAAATGAAGTTTAATTTAAGAGCCGGTTAAGTTAGCGATAAGAAACTAAGATAAAGAGAAACTTAAGTAAAGTGGCGGAACCAGGAACAACGGGTTAGGAGGGCCGAGACTTGGGAAATTTATATTGGGGGGCCAAATTTAAAATTTTACTATATTTTTATTGTTTATAATTATTTATACATATATGTACATACATCATAGATTTTTTTTTGATAATCCATGTGTCGGGGCTTACGCTCCCATAATCCTGGAGTCCATGAATTACCCTCCAAAACCCCTAGACAGTTAAATCTGGATCTGATCACAGTCAGTTTCGTCAGTACTGGCTCCAAAGGACGAATCCAGCAGGACTTACATCACCTTTCAGACTGCTCCTCCCACCACACGAACCCGCTACCTTCATTATCATCCCCTCCATCCTCAGCCGCTGAGCAACTCCGTGAAGGTAGGAAGAATCATTGGAAGCAAGACCTCCCTCATCTCCCTTTGATGAGAATTGAACTCAAGACCTCCCACAAAGGAGAGGTCTGAGGCACCTGCCTAGTCCGGTTTCTACCCCTACTTTTTATATAAAACGAGTGTATTAATTTACGAACAGAGCAAAAGGATAACATGTTTTTAGATTTTTCCTTTTCTGTGATCCTAATTATTCAGATTTTTTTGCTAAAGATTTTTCCCTGCTATCAGAAGTATCAAAAGAAAAAAACATTGGTTGTTCATACATAAATATTGTTTTACTCATTACTCTCGGTATCTTTTTTGTACTCGATCTTTTCATATTGACTCACACTATAACAATCATTATTCATCATCCGAAAGTACCCAAAAATCTTATTGGGTCTACCTAGCATTTTTATTCAAATTAAAAATGGACTGCGTATCATTATTAACCCGTAAAGCATGTAGACAAGCGTAAAAGAAAAGGAGTAGCAAAAACTAATCAATTCTCCAGTCATTTTCTAAAAGTAGTTGATACATCTTATTTAGTACAGTCAAACGAAACCATGATTATATGACTCATATTTCAAACTTTGAAAATTTTGAAAGTTACCCTTTTATAGTTCAATGATGATGATCACTATGTTTAACATACTTCCTCCCTTTAAAGGTTTATCAAGTTTGACCGGCACGTAGAATAATAAAATAAAAACTGTGTGGTAAATATTTTTGCAGAGGAGAGAGAAATAACAAAAACCACAAATTGATTAACTAAAATGAAAAGTGTCAAAATTTTTGGAACAAAAAAAGGAAAGCTGACAAAGTTATAAGGGATGGAGGGAGTAATATTTTATCGAGAGAATGTGCATATAGACCACCAAGTCTAGACCAAATGGCCAGGGCCGAACCTCTAGATGAGGCAAAGAGGCAACTGCCTCAGGCCCACAAATTTGGGGGAAAAATTAGGGCCCATAAATTTATTAGTTACCTTTATATAGAGGAAAGTTCATGTACGGAATTCTGGACAGGAACCGCCGTCGGGACGGTAGCATTTGGTCGACTTCCCTGTGGAATTTTTTTATGAAATTTTTATAGCATGTTCCTCATCAAATCTAGTTTATTCACAAAATGTTTCAGCTTAAAATTCAATCGGAAAGGCCGTCAAATTATTTTTGGAAGTTAACTGCGTTTTATATGTATATTTTGGCACATTTATCTTCCAAATATCACTTGATGGCCTTCCCGATTGAATTTTTAGCCGACTTTTAGGTAGATAAACTAGACTTGATTAGGAACATGACATAAAATATTTTAACAAAAAATTCCACCGAGAAGGCGTCCAAACGCCTCCATCCGAACGACGGTTCCTGTCCGGAATTCCGAACATAAACTTTCCTCCTGAAAAATTTCTCAGGGCCTTTTTTCATAGTTCGACTCAGACCAAAAAAACTCTTAGGATCGGCCCTGCAAATGGCATATTGACGTTGAAGTAATTTTTGGAGCAAAATGTTCAAAATTAAACCATTTATAGGCAATATGCCCCCAAAAGGTTTAATTTTCACCTTTTTGCTCCAAAAATAACTTTAATGTCCAATGTGCTCCTTGATTTAGTCTTTAGTGGTGAATATGCACCTTCTCCCTTATTTAATCTAATTAAACAGGTATTAATAGCATTCATAATGACTCTCCACATCGGCGTTGTATTTATAACGATTTTCAAATAGTTATTTAACATATTTTTTCTCTTATTTTACTACTTTATTACAAAATTTACTTTTAGCAATTTTATTTCTTCCAAACTAGTAGCTCTATTTGACTAATTGATTTCTCAATCGAAAAGTATAACGATACTGAAACGATAGGCATTTGCCTTAGAATTGCAATCAAGACCTCCAAATCAATCATTTAATCGATATTTTAATGTCTTTGTTTTGTTTTCTATGAAATAATAATGATTTCATCAAATTTATTTTATAAGGATAACTATCAAATAAGATCTCGAACTTTCATAAAAAGTGCAAATAAGCCTTTTTATAGGAGGCTCTGTCCGACTGTCGCCATTTGAGCAATTAGACTCTTTATTTTCATTAAAATCATTTATTTATATTTTATAATCTCTATTAGACAAGTTACAGTTTGACTTGTCTGCAGTTACATTTCTTATCAACGTCAGTTACTTTTCTTTACACGCGAGTTAAATCATTTTGTTATTGGGACAATGAGAAAACAAAAAAAAGTAACTATTGTTCACGCGCGTGAACAGTAACACACATTTTTTCCCCTGTGGGAGCAACATACTCACCTTGGGCTGCTCTCACATTATATCGGCTATTGTATACCATGATGATGTAAGCATGTGTGATGCATGACAGCATGACTGCACTTTTTATGAAAGTTCGATGACTTATTTGATAGTTCTCCCTATTTTATAATAAAAATGATAGAAGGGTGACTAAAATAAAATGAAAAACGTAATATTTTTTGTTGATATGATTTAGTTATGTTAAACCATACTATCATAATTTGATGTTATCAGATATTAATATGCTAGTAATAATGTTGTAATTAAAATATTTCCCAATTGTAATAATCTTATATAATGCTTTTAATTTGGAAAACTATTTTATCAATGTTATTTGTGATTTATAATCATTTATACTTCTGTTCCGCGCGCATCACAAAACTAATACGTAGTAACAATTACGAGTAATACTTTTATTGAAAGAATAATGATTATTAACTCTCAAGAATAAATAATGGACCGAACAACTCATCTTGGACCTGTTTACTAATTGGACTGGTTTACACTTAATAGTTAGAATAGCCTTAAGACCCTTGGTATATATGTTGTACTGTAACCCTATAGGAGATTATCAATTATCCATTCTATCTTCTTCACCGTTTTCTCTCTCGAACGGCTTCCACACTATTCATCAAATTTCTGCTGAATCTGCAATTTCACATGTTATCACATGGTAATTTCACCGGTCTTTGTTGATTTCTTATTCGATCATCAATACTACTAAAACCCTAAACACAATGGTGCTGACTGATGATTTTGTGTCGCTGAATCCAATTGAGGATCCTTCATCGCCCTACTACCTTCATCCGAGTGACCACGTTGGTCTTCGCATCATCTACGAAACGTTCACATGAAACAACTCTGGTGCTTGGAAGAAACATGTCACTTTGGCCATGACGGTGAAGAATAAAATGGATTTCCTCGACGGATCAATTGAACAACCGAGTACAAATAACTCTCTGTACTCTACCTGGTATCATATCAATGCTTTGCTCCTATCTTGGTTGATTTACTCAATTTCTTCTACTCTTCGCACTACTTTCTTGTATTTTACCAATGCTAAGGAACTTTGGGATGAGATTCAACTTAGGTAGGTTAAAAGTGATGGTCCTAGACTTTTTAAACTCGAAAAAAACCCTAAAAAATCTTTCTCAAGGCTCTCAAAACCTAACTGATTACTACAATAATTTCAAAGAACTTTGGGATGAATAGTGTAATTTCAGAGTTATTCCTTCTTGCACATGTGGTAATTGCACTTGCAATATCTCTGAAACTTATTAAAAACTTCTACAGAAAGAGTCTGTTCTCAAGTTTGTTGTTAGTTTGAATGAGTCTTATGCTAATTTGCCAAGTCAAATACTTTTTAATACTTCTACTGCTACTCTATCCAATATTTACTCTATTCTTTTGCAAGAAGAATCACAAAGATCTCTTTAGTATACTTTTCTTCCAATACTTCTTTTTCAAAGCCTTCTACTTCTGAAAAACTCAATAATGATACCACTGCTTTCTTTGTTAAAAATTTCAAGAAGAAAAACTCTATTACCTGTACTCATTGTGGCTATCATGGCCACTCTTTTGAGAAATGTTTCCAATTTATTGGATATCTAAGCAACTCGAAAGGGCCAAAAGGACAGAGAATTGCTCCTGGTTTTTGTTGGGTGTGTTTCGAAAAACAAAGAAAATTAATTAATAAAGATTAATTAAATAAAATGACTTAAAGAAAAACAAGAAATGAGATGAAGCAGAATAAGCCAAAGCTCGTGCTACGCACGATTTCCTTAAAACATATTCGTTGCCTCCCGGGGTGCTAGGAGCGTTGCAACGATCGTTTCCCAGGATACGATGACTTCGAACAATAGTTTAGCACTCAAACTAAAGTTCCAACGAACGTGAACAAAAGCTGAACACCGAAGGAGTTTGTATGGAGTGCTAGAGGTGCTATTTTAGGGGTGGATTTGCAAAGCACCTACTAGCCTTTTATAGGGGTAGATTAAAGTGTGTTAATGGCTGTTTAAGGGTTATGATCGTTGGACATCAATGTCCTAAACGTTGGGCATTGATTCCAGTCCTTAAACAACCCAAACCCAAAACGTTCATATGAACGTTGGGACATCAATGGTAGCATATAGACGTTGGGCATTTATGTGCATGGAGCAAAAATTAAAGTAGGAACGTACCGGAAGAACAAAAATTAACGTTATCTTTAGAAGATAGATTTTCGGACGACACACGCAAGTCGTGGTTTTTGTTCTTCGGTTTCGGGATTTGATTCGCACCCCCCCTGCGCGCGTGAGAGAGCCTTTCCCTTTAGGAATCTTAACTCCTTAGGGAGGGTTTCCCTTTATAAAGGGTTCAAATTCCCTTGTGATTTTCGGTGTGGGAAAGAACCCACACTAAAACCCACATTTTCCTAGTTTTCTCCATTCAAACGGGTAAACTTCGAAAAACAATTTCTCATTCACCCGTTATCCGTTTTGAGTGTACCATATATCGAATTGTAGCCCTTAGCAAGGACAATCTGAAACCACTTTGACCCGACCCAAATCGGAAGTGGACCCCACTCAAATAATTGCCCCAAAATGACCATTTAATACACTTTTAACACACTTTTTCCAACAGTTTTAAGCTAGAATCCAACTCCACCAGAAATCATCAAGCTCATATGGTGACAAATAACACAAATTTCACTTCTGCTCCTACAAGCTCCACATTTGCTGCCACTGATTTGTGTGTTCCAAATCTCTATGACAAGTTTTTAAAATCCATCCAAAGTCTACAATCTAAGTCTGCTTCTGCTAATGTGGTCATCACTGCTCCTAATGATGATTCCACTACATCTCACAATGACACCAACTTCTTAGGTAAAAACTTTGCTCTTTCAGCTTTTAAATCTTCTCATTGGATTCTTGATACTGGAGGATATGACCATATGATCTATGATGTTTCCTTATATACTACTCCCACTAAAAATATTTCAATAAATACTCAACTGCCTACTTGAAATTTCATTTCTGCTACTAAAATTGGAGACATAAAATTGAATTCTAATCTTACTTTACACAATGTCCTATATGTTCCCAATTTTACTTTTAATCTTATCTCTATTTCTAGTCTAACATCTCCTGACAATATTTCTGTTCATTTTACTTCTAATCATGCTATATTGCAGAACCACCTTACCAAAAAAATGATTGGCTTTGCTGATTTAAGAAATGACTTATATCACTATAATTCCGATCTTTCCACTGCTCATACTTCCACTGTGCATTCTACCAACAGTCAACATACTTCATCTACCGATCTTTGGCATTTTAGACTAGGAAATTTACCTTTCAAAAAACTTACCATGCTATCTGAATGTAATGTTTCTAATACTGACAAACACTCTTCTTCTTGTGACATTTGCCATTTTGCTAAACAAAAAAGATTACCTTTTCCTATCAGCACTTCTCATGCTTCTAATGCTTTTGATTTAGTTCATATGGATGTTTGGGGTCCTTATAAAGTCACTTCTTATACTGGTTTTAAGTATTTTTTAACTGTTGTTGATGACTATAACCGATGCACTTGGGTTTTTCTACTTAAAACCAAATCTGAAGTTAAATTTCATATGTTAAATTTTATAAATTCATTGAAACTCAATTTCAAAAGAAAATTAAAATCATAAGAACTTATAATGGTACTGAGTTCTTTTTTCGTGACTTTTTTGCTTCCAATGATATTGTTCATCAGTTATCTTGTGTTGAAACACATCAACAGAATGGTAGGGTTGAAAGAAAACATCAACATGTTATACAAGTTGCTAGAGCTCTCTTATTTCAGTCTCGTTTACCTCTTACTTTCTGGTCTGATTGTATTCTTACTGCAGTTCACATTATTAACAGACTACCTTCTTCTATTCTTCACAATAAATCTCCTTTTGAAATGCTCCATGATCATCCTCCAGATTATACTCATTTAAAAGTCTTTGGTTGCTTAGCTTTTGCTTCAACTATTTTCTCTAACATAACTAAATTTGATTCTAAATCACACAAATGTATTTTCATTGGTTATCCTTTAGGTTCAAAAGAATACAAATTATATGATTTAACAACTCATAAAACTTTCATTTCAAGAAATGTAACGTTCTATGAAATGGATTTTCACTATAAAAATCAACTTACTGAAAAGAAATCTAATTCTGATACAATCTCTACACAAAATACTAATCTCTTTAATGACAACTTAACAACCTCTAATGATCCTTTTTCAACTTTAAATCACATTGTCCATAATAACTTTGAGAATACATCTCTTTCATTTTCCTTTACACATTATATGGATAATCAAATTAATGATGATGGTAAGTCTATTTCAGTCAAATAATCATGGTTCTGCAGCTAATGGTAGTCTTTTGCAGACAGAAAATGTTCAAACTGATCCCATTGTTACTAAAAATAAATCTCACAGAAAGTCTACAAGAGTACGATCTATTCCTATTCATTTAAGATATTTTGAATACAAATTACCCCAGTCTATTATCCCAGGTAATTCTGAAGCCTCTTGTAACTTTGTTAGATATCCTATTCAAAATTATATTTCTTGTAACAGATTGAGTGCTTCACATCACTGTTTCACTGCATCTCTTTCGAAACTTACTGAACCTAAAACATATAAACAAGCTATCAAATTTTTAGAATGGCAACATATTATGAATGCTGAAATTAAAGAACTTTAACAAAATAACACTTGGATTCTTGTTGATCTTCCTGCTAATCAACACACTATTGGCTCTAAATAGGTTTTCAAAACAAAATTGAAATCTGATGGATCTCTTGTTAGATATAAAGCTAGATTAGTAGCTAAACGCTACACTCAAAAAGGTCTTGACTATTTTGATACTTTTTCTCATGTTGTCAAATTAACAACTATTAGAATATTGTTAGTTGTTGCTAGTTCAAGAAACTTGCATTTACATCAATTAGATGTAAATAATGCCTTTTTACATGGTGACTTCAACAAATATATATATATATATATATATATATATATATATGTATATATATATATATATATATATATATATATATATAATAAGAATCAATTGAGAAGAGTGCTTATCGTAAGAAGTGAGAATGCATCTGGTGCGTTCAATTTAAGATCTATGCATCAGATTAGCAAAAAAGTGCACGAGAAAGTGCAAAAAAATATTAAAAAAGTGATGCTAGATGCGGTGGCATTTCCGTAATTAATTGGAACTTTTCTACCATCACAAAAAGTGCATCAGATTAGCAAAAAAGTGCATCAGAAATAGGTAAATGTGTAACTTCTCACTTCTCACGTTAAGATGTCTTCTAATTAGAATTCAACCCTATACACACACACACATCCCGTTCTCGGTTACTTAGCACATAATGATACTAGAGTTTGTAAAATTCTTAAAAGCCTATATGGTTTAAAACAATCTTCTAGACAATGGTATTTTAAACTCTCTGAATCTTTGAAATCTTTTGGATATAAACAGTCTCAAACATATTTTTCCCTTTTCACTAAAATTACTTTCCTTTCTTTTACTGTTATTTTACTTTATGTTGATGATCTTATCCCTGCAGGAAATGATATAAATAAAATCAACTCTGTTAAATGTTTTCTGCATCATAAGTTTACTATTAAAGATCTAGATGAGTTAAAATAAAATTTAGTACTAGAAATTGCTAGATCCAGTACTGGTATTGTTTTAAATTAAAGAAAATATACTCTTGACATCCGTTCTGATTGTGGTTATCTTACTTCCAAACCTTCTTCTAGTCCTATGGATTCTAAACTTAAACTTTCAAAACATGATGGTACTCTTTTAACTGATCCTAAATCATATAGAACTTTAACTGGCAGATTATTATACTTTATTGTAACCAGACCTGACATTGTTTATTCTGTACAAACACTTAGTCAATTTCTCTCCTATCCTACTGATATTCATATGACTGCTTTACATAGGGTACTTAGATACCTTAAAACTCTCCAGGTAAAGGCCTCTTTTACCCTTCTAACGCATCTTTTAATCTTCAAGCATATATTGATTTAGATTGGGGATCTTGTATTGATACTAGAAAAGCATTTCTGGTTGTAGTTTTTGCCCTGGTGACTCACTGATTTCTTGGAAATCCAAGAAACAATCAGTTGTCAGTAGATCTTCTACTGAAGTTGAGTATAGAGCAGCTGCAAATGCAGTCTGCGAGGCACAATGGCTTCTTTATATTTTCTTAAAGCTTTACACATTTCTGTTCCTTTACCTATTACTCTTTATACTAATAACAAATCCACTTATTATCTTGCACAGAATCCTATTCATGCATCAAAGAACCAAACACATAGAGTTAGACTGTCATTTAATTTGAGAAAAAAATAATACTGGACTTATAAATCTTACTCATATTTCTAATACTTGTCAACTTGTAGATATTTATACAAAACCTCTTGAAAATCCTTTATTCAATGAGTTTGCAGACAAGATGAACATGTTGGACATCCATGCTCATCTTGAGGGGGTGTCTCAAGAATAAATACTGGACTGAACAACTCATCTTGGACTTTTTAACTAATTGGATTGTTTTACACTTAATAATTAGAATAGCCTTAAAAAATTAGAATAGCCTTAAGCTCTTTGGAATTGGTTTATGTGTTGTACTGTAACCCTATAGCATATTTTCAATTATTCATTCTATCTTCTTCATTTTTTCCCTCTCAAACTGCTTCAATGAATCTGTAAATTTGCATTAACACTTGGACATAGCCTTTGGAGTTATGGATGAATGACGAGGAGCACTTTACTTATTATCATCATTATTATTCATTCATTCCATCCATCTTACAATAATATATTCACTTTCACTTATATGGTGTTTCAAAACTAAATTGACGTTTCTCTTTTTATAATAATCATCTTTTTACTCTTATGAAAAGAAATCATATTAATTGTCTCTATTATATATACTTTGGAGATATAAGATGCTTGAAAAATAAAAATAAAAACATTTTGGGAGGCATGCAAACATACTGGATTTTCTTAAAGTATTATGAAAATAATTTTCATGAATATAAATGTGATTAAATTTACTATGAGTGCACTTTATTGTCACTATGGTGTGAGAATTGAACATGATAACTATAATAATTAAAAATAAGTATATTACATTTTTATCTTTTACTCTTATTTTGGTTATAAATTAGATATTATTTCGTGAAGTTAACTAATTAAATTGGGAAACAGGGTAAGAGAGTATATTAATTAATTACATGGAAGTTGTAAAGTGCAGCATTTAATTTAGAGGCAAAACCCTTATTTGTTGGCTTTCGGAAATGTTACTCCCTCCGTTCCCAAAAATACTTCCCACTTTCCCTTTTGGGCTGTTCCCAAAAATACTTCCCACTTTCCCATTGGACAATTTGTGTGGCTCACATTCATTTTACCTTTTTCTTACACAACCACAACCATACATTTCCACTTTATTCCACTTTCTTAATAAGCGTGTTAAGTCAAACCGGGAAGAATTTTTAGGAACGAAGGGAGTAAATGTCAAAGGGACTAAATTACTAAGAGGTCTGCTACGCGCCTACGCATTCTTGGACGTAGACCAATGTTCGAATTCCGCAGCGGCTAAAAGGGGATTTTCAGAACCTGAAATAAGGTTGGCCCTCTGGTGCGCACGGGTAAAGGCCTACTGTCGCTTTGCCGACTGAGTCACCGTGATTTACTCCCCCATCATCCTGTCGGGTCGGGGTGAGGGGGGCCCTTGGGGTTGGAGATTCAACCTTTTGGACGTGGAATGTTTCTGATCTGCTAGATCCTTCGTAAGCTCATTGACTTATCAAATTAATTAGTACAATTAAAGTAGGCTAAGAAGGTTCACACCGCAATTACGGCATTTTTGTACAAAATAAGTCGAGCTGTAAAGTGAAAAAAAGAAACCTTTATCTACAAAATAAAATAAGTAGCCCGCTTTAGAATTTTATTACTACGTATAACAATTGCTGTCTTCACGTGGCTGCTGGATGTACGCAAAAAACTGCTTATGTATAAATACATAATAGCAGATATATTTTGGCAACTGATATTTTATTATAAATATACTTCTAGGGTTTCTAAGTGAGTAACCATTTTTCATTATTTCACATGGTATCAAGAGCTCAGACCTAAAATATATAAGCTATTATATACTACCTCCGCCCCATTAGAAGGTTTCTGTCCACTATTTGCATGGTCAACTTAAATCATTTTTAATCGTTTACTTTATAAATCAAATTTTTATCAAATTTACATTTTTTTATCAGTCTTTGTAGTGGTTTTAATGTAATTTCTGAATATATTAATTTTATTTACTAAAACTAATAAGAGTGTGAACAAGGATTACGTTGCTTTATCGTCAATCAAGTATCGTAAATCGTTCACGGAATCTTCTAGCGGGATGGAAGGAGCAGGAGATTCGAATAAGTAATCGGGAGTAAATGTAAACGAACATTATCATGAAAAGAGTCGTATTTAACATCTAAGAGCACTTGAATGTGTCAATGTGTCAATTTGATTAAAAAATCCAACACTTTAGTAATTAAAGTCAAAATTTTGATCACTTTGAGGGAAGTGCATTATGAACGAGTAAAAATGTATTTATGCACAGTTTGCACGCAAATCACTACTTTATCAAACCATATATAAATATGAAAAATGCATGGTGTACACTTTTTGTGTACACCCGTCTGTCCCCAGCAGATGAATTGTCTGTCCACAGATAACTCTGTAGAGTTGTCTGTGGATAGACAACTCGTCTGCTGGGGACAGACGGGTGTACATGAAACGTATTTGTGTACACCCAAAAACACTAGCCCGGCCAATATTCGCCAAACACTAGCCCTCTACCAAAATGGTGAGAACTACACGTGCTAACTCCAAAAACGTATAAGACAAGAACCTGGCCCTCGGCGACGTCAACGCCCCCGAAGCCTCTCACAGGGCTCCCGAGGGCGGTGTCATCGCTGGGCTGGAACAGGCGGCTGTCGACCTACGCCTTCAGATCCAGCAGAATGCCCCCGATGCCCGCCTCGGCATCGAGGCCAAGAAGAAGAACCGGAGCGATGACCAAGTCAGCCCTCCGGTCCTCACCATCGACGTTCATTCGGCGCTCTCCGCCTTCATCCAGACACTCACTCAGAACCCGGGTGCCTTCGGCACCCTGGCTCCGGCTCAACCCCAGGTTGGGGAGAACACCATGCTTCCCCCTCTGCCACACCCCTTCGGAAACCCCATCCCTCGGATTGGGAATGACGAAGGGGTAGTGGCCCAAGATACGGCCTCCCAGGAAGTTCAGTCCCGGGACCGCCACAATGACAACAGAGAAAGGCCCCGCACTTCCGCCCTCAACCGGCTCGGAGGGGGGCAAGACCGCCGAGGGTTCCAAGACCGCCTCGGAGGAAAGGCACTCCAAAGGCCCCAGGAAAGCGGAGGGTCTGTCTCGAGGGCAGACGAGGAGCGTCCCCCTCGGGACAAAGGCAAGGCACCCCTTCATGCCGACGATGCTCGCCACCAAATCAACCAGCCCCACTCAGCCCGGGTTCGTTCGCAGGGGGCGAAGGCCCTCCCGAAGGATCCCCGGGACGAAATTATTGCGGCCCTCCAACGCCGGCTTGATGAAATGGAGGCCAACAAAGCTCACGCCACCACCTCCACCCCTCATCCAGACCTCAAGTACGAGGCCATGATGGCCAAAATGGAGGAATTGCAGAAGAAGGTAGCCGAGGGCTCCGGGGAACCCATCATCCAGCTCCGGACCCGGACGCCATTTACCCCAAGGGTATTGGCGGCCCGGATACCGGAAAAATACCGAGGGCAACACATACAGCCCTACAATGGGAAAACGGACCCCCAGGAGC